AAGCATCCAAAGAAAGCAATTTAAATGTTTATTTACTTCATCCTCAGATTTCACATCCTATTGAAATCACTTGCAGTGTCTGCAATTAGTATTCACATGTTTCTTTTTTAAATAGTGATCTAAAAAATGTTTTGTGCTTTTGTGCTAAGCACATTGAATTGGAACCTCTCTTTCCAATCACAAGTCTAAATCATTTGGGGTTTAAACCAAACCAGCTTTGCACAGCTTGAGACTTGCACTAGCTTGTGTTGCCATGTCTGTAACATAAATATATTATGGTTGTAGTGTGAAAAAATTGAAAAGTTTAAAGATGTATGAATATGTTACACATATACAACTGGGCTGTATGTAACTTTTTATGAAGAAGAAAGCAAGCAAGAATCAAGGTCCTCATTTGCATCTGACACGAAAGAAAAAACTTTTTGATTCCTCTGGATGTTGTGCTTTCAGACACTTCTAAATACATTTTTATAAGTTGCTGATTCAATGGAAGCTTTTAACAGAAAGACGGTGCTCAAATTTAACATCAACCATCTCTGTGCAGCCACATGCTTCACCTTTTGTCCCTTTCTGGATACTAATACATGCAAGATTATGACTCACCTCTATGCTTTTGTCAGCGACTCCTTTACTTAGAAACCAATATGAGATGATATGATGTTGACAGTATCATAAAAACATGATGAGTTCTCACAAAGGATTGGCATGCTAGAATAATAGGATATAGATTATTTGACAGAAGCTTCCGAGAAGGCCAGACAATGAAGCAACACAGAGAAAATGCTAGACACAAACCTCATTGTAACTCTGTGCAGGTTTTTAAAACTTTAACCAAAATCTTTCTCTTCTGAACACTTTTTGGTGGTAAAAACATAGAGCCCTGTGAGCACCTAAAAAAATTAAGCGTTATCAGTGTCTCTGTCCTTAATTCATTTTCTAAGGTTAGGTTGTGCTCACAAAAAGCTTTAGTAAATGACAGATGATGGAAGTCCTACAGCTTTAATGCACTTTGAGTCATTTAAAACTTGCCTCAACAGCAGCAGCCCGGGGCGCCCCCTGAAGCAACTGAGTCATGCTCCCAAAATTAATTGAGCTCTGCAAACAGGGTGAGGCCTATAATGACATTTTACTAGTTTTAAGGGAAGGATTTGATTTTCAGGTAACACTTTCTTCTGCTTTCAGTACAAACACTTCCTTATTACGTTTAGGTTTTACAGATCAACACAGCTCAAGGAACCCAGGGAACTGCTGTGCACTTGAAAGAAAAGCAAATAAAATATTCTATATGAAATTCAAAAAGATGTTTTCTGGTGCGCAGCTGGCAATATTAAAGGATGACTATAGAAAATATTTTATTGAGTGAGCTTAGAAATCAAGCACCAGTGATTTTAAATTAAAGCGAATGTAGCTGAAAGTTTCACAACAAAGCATGATGGACTGGTGTTGAAAATGCATTATTTTGCCTGGAATCAGCTGAAGTGTGTTTGATGAGAGAAAAGTTGCAGAATACAAAGTAAGGACCAATCCAGCATAAGTTTGAGGTGAAGGAAGAGCTTGGGTTGTATCACTGGTGGAGGAGAGAAAAACAGAGTAAAAGTATTTGAAGGATATGACACGGCCTGTGAAAAAAAGTTAATTGGGGGTGAGTTGCTTTTGCTTCTGGTAACGAAATAATGATCTCAAATAGACTTCAAAATCAACAACGTAATCTCCTGAGATGTGTTAACGTGAGGTACTGCCAGGCTCTTACTCCTCTGTCTTGTCTTACAGTACCAGCCAGACGGTTTCACTCCTGACAAGTTTTTATATTTTACTTTAAATCACATGCAACAAATAGTAATAGATGCAAAAAGCAGTATGATGTGGAAACTGTATAGGAACTGTAGTCAAAGGAGGCATTGTTTTGGACCTTATTTTTATTAAAGTTCTTATATAATGTTTATAGAAAGTGTTGTTCAACGTTCTTCCATTTGAGGATAAGCCATGGCCATCAAATCCTTTGCATTACAACAACAAAAATCAGCAAAACCAAAATCCTTTTTCTATTTGTAAAGGATCAGTTGAAGAAAAGAAAATCTCAGTCATTGGTTCTTTAGTCAAACATTTGCCCTTTACCTTTATTCAGACATGGATTCTGCAAAGATTACCAGGAAGGGGGAAATCCGGGAAATGCTCTGTGACCGGAGACACCTCTTTAGTATCACTTCCATCGCTTCCAGCTACTGATACCTGCTCTTAGGGTAATTGTTTCCTGATCCTTCAACTTTTAAAGGCTTTCTCTGGAGGACGGCCGGATCAATTTCAGGAGGAAGATTAATAGATGCTGCGTCTTCCCCGAATACAGATCAGACTTCTTTATAGCTCTGTGAGATGCCCATTTTCACAAAGCAGGAATTTAGGTGGCAGAAACGTTGCCATGCTTCCTACAGCTACATCTGACAAAAATAATATCAAAACAGTTGCCATTGCCGTGGATGCAAATATACAAATTAGGAGAGGTAATGACTCATGCATCAAAAAATCGCTGCAGCTTCTTTGTTGGAGACCAACACATATGGGTGTTTATTATCTATAAACACCCATAAATATGTATTTATTATTTTTTGAATAAATATGTATTCAAAAAGTAATCAGGAAGCACTTCGTCACAGGAGAACCCCCATTGACAAATGGAAATGAATACCAGATGTCCTGTTAAAAATGAACTGTGTATAATGATGGGAAGGATGGGTCAAGCAGGAAAACTGGTTTTAACATTTCACGTTCTGTTCAACTACACCAAAGAAACTATTTCCTTATTTAATGTATTTTGATGTTGCGTTCAGTAAAGTGTTTGCTCAAAACACTGAATAGTTATGAAGTCCAGGATTATCTTCAGTTTCGTCATGTTTTTCTTCTGAGCAGCTAGACTTCCTTGGCTGCTTTGCTCTTTCCTAAGACATGTTGGGAAAGATAATATCCTACTATTGTTTATTCCTTGAAACTATGGAAAGTGAGCAAGTGGAGGGTAAAAGAAGTATCGGGCTTTTCAAGAACTTCATATGGAAAAGATAAACACCATCTTTAATGATTTCTTTCAAAGGTTCCTTTATAATATAGGAACTGATTTTATGCTGTGTATGTGTATATGTGCATATATTTGATTTCATGTGAATCATAGAAAGCCAATTATAAAACAGCAAAAAATGACTGAATACATCTTTGCATAAAGTAAAATATTTTTTTCTACAAAATTAATTCAATTTTGTGTTAAGTCTATAAAAAAATAAGGTGAAAGAAGCATTTTTGTGCAATAAAGTTCAATGTGTCTAAGTAAAAAGAAAAACACAGAAAATGACTTATAGTTTATTAATGTAAACTCATACTTCAGAAGTGAACTTTTGAAATACCGTCTTTGAAAGGCTGCAGAATACTGCTGACCTCCAGTGGCCTCTATGCAAACTGCAAACAGACTAGAACAGTTTATAATTCTTCTTCCATGAGTCACTACATTCATTTCCAGTGAGTATCTGTGATATGAAGCCCTCTCTGTGCTAACTTATCTCTCAACTATTTGTTAGGCTCTGCACAGCTGTAAGAGCAGAGCAGCGTGCATGCCAGAGGAGAACAGGTGGAGTTGTTGCTATTCAGGGTGAAAACTACTTTCAGATGATCCTGAAGTCACATTTGCAAGCACACTGAAACGAAGCATGCCTGGATTGTTTGAGATTTTCTTTTTTTTTTTTTTTTTTTGTATCTAATGTAATATAAACCTGCTTGGTGAAAGGTCACGAGGGGACTCTGGTCTACCTCAGCAGTCACATGACGAATGAAGGGCAGGATACACTCTGTGGGTAGGCTCTCTGCCCATCACAGGTCTTGATCAAACATCAACATCAATTTCACTGTTATCTCTCTTATCAGTTTTGTTTTCCACTGGCACACCCCTCATAGAAACTGCAGCATACCACAGATGTCACTGTTTCAGAGACAGTTTCACTGATGCAGCAGTAAAACATTCTAAGTTAATGATGAACATTGCTGTGGCTTTTTAAGGCATGGGTTGATTACATTTCACTCTAAGTGGTCAGAGGAAGAAAAAAAAAACAGAAGAGATAGCACAAAATCAGCCAAAATTGTTTCATGAGACTAAAATAGACATTTAAAGAAATATTACCGTCTTGGTCAGAGTAACACAACGCCTGGTTTAACTCTTGGAAACAAAGATGAATACGTGAGCTGACTTCTTTCGATTCACAACAGATGTGATACTGTTATAGTTTAGTTTTTAGCGCCTTCTGGATGAAGGCAGGTATGACAGAGGATCATAAAAACTCACATTTCACTGGTGTAGCATTAAATCTAGGCGGTGTTACTCCACCATGGCAACACAATACTGTAAAACTATAAAGACTGATGGCTTCTCGGTGTGTCTGATTTGTTTTCATCACTAGAAAATTGGGTATTATATTAATTATTCACACAATTATTAGACCAACCTGCAGGACATGGAGACATTGTAATATGTGAAGATGTACAGCTCAGGATAAAAAGTAGATCTCATCGAAAACCTCATGGTTATTGATTTCTGAACTCTTCCTGAGTTAAAACATCAGAATTGTTTCCAAATTAATATCAGCTTGTTTTCTTTGCATGACTGAGCTCTGAAAGCACTGCATTGTTTTGTTATTTTTACCGCTTTTTTTATTTTCTGCAAATAAATGCAAAATCTTTGCTTAGAATTTTAAGTTTATGTTGTCAGTAGTTCAGGGAATAAAAGAACAATGTTCATTTACGGCAACATATTCCTATAAAAATTTAAAAACCAGAAAAACTGATCATTTTAACTGATCTCTTAAGTTTTTTCCAGAGCTGTATGGTCTAATGATCTGGTAATTGAACAAACCAATTGTAAATTAAATTAATTGTCTTTTTGATGATTGGAGTTCTGTATAGTTATCAACTGAGATGTGAGAATGTATAATTATTATTATTATTATTATTATTATTTTTTTTTTTATTATTTTTTTTATTTGGAAAATTGCTATAAAAGGATTCTCCAGAAATTTAAACGTGAACTATCTTTTTCACTTTGTCTGCTCTTCGACTCTGATTCTTTGCAGAAATATTCTTTTAGACAAACTGTGGGCAAAGGATTTGTGTCAAGAGGTAAATATACATGATTTTTTTAGTAAAAGTAAAGTAAGCAACAGCATGTTTATTGATAAGTGATATAAATGAGAGGTTTACCTGACTCCGAGTTCATGTCTACATAGTTACATCCTGAAATCTCAGGGAAAGTTTGGCAGCTGCGAAACGAAACAGAGCAGCACTGTCAGCCCTTGAACACAGACTCAGCTGTTCTTTTCTGTAGCCTCCAGGCCACTCGGCTCCAAATATCCAGATAAAAAAAAGGCCTCCAGCACAAGATCTGCTTGTTCTTTTTGAACCGTGTGGTTAATGTAGTTCCAACCTTAACGGGCCTCTTCTTGAACTGGTCATGCACATGAGTAACAATGTCGTCTGCGAGCATATGTGGAGACGTGGCTCTGTAGTGATAAGTTGAAAGTGATAACTGATCATTACGTGGCACATAAAAGCTAGTCAAGCAGTAAACGAGCCTGTTGCTGTGGTTGTGTTACAAGCTGAATAAAGGTTGATCTCTGCAGCTCAGTTTCCCTAAAAGGACAGTCGTTTTCCTCTCATCTCACAGTGTAGATGCGTCTCCTGCAGATGCCGGGTCCAGGCCAACCTGACGGAGTGTTATTATTGGCTGCCAGCTGGCCTCGCAGCTTTTTCCAACATAGCAACAATTTATTTGGTGCTGCATGATCAGCAGCACTCGGCAAAAGGCCATGTCTGTTGCTCCACAATTTTTAAACAAAAGCTTCCTTTTCAGCACCCAGGCAGCTGAACACTCTTCCCCAATTTGTATTTATCATAAATCCAGGAGGGCATCTTCCTCTTGTTTTGTTTTTTCCCCCATAAGCTTGTTTAGTGTTCCAAACACAGCAGGTCACCAGAAGGACAAGAGGAATCTTCTGACCTTCTGTCACAGGTTGACATATTTTCCTGTGAAGCGGCGTTCCTCATCGGCCTTGATGCTGACCAGGGACCATCCGATGCCTCCTGCATTTACTGTGAGCCTGCAGCCAGAAGCAGCCCTGTGTGTAAACATGTGATGCCTACAGGCATCCCTGACAGAGTCTTCATACTGAGCTGATATGTGTCGGTTCTGTAGACTCTGGTGTACTCAAGTCCAGCATGCTGCGTTTCTCTGTTCCGTTTCTCAGCTCCTCTGTCTGTCTTCTGCTCCGTCCACACGTTCTGCACCTGCGACTGAAAACAAGAGAACGATGGCACATACCAAATATGGAAGGCAACAAATGACTTCAAAGTCAAAACCAAATATGCTCAGCCTCTGCAGTAAGATTTTTTTTTCAAACTCTATCTGGTTTCATTTCAGGATTATACCATATTTAGGTGCCTCAATCTGCCTTGTCCCTGTTGAAGAAAATAATCCCCACAGCAAGGTTCTGCTACCACTAAATGTTGTGTTATAAATAATGTGTTCAGGGTGATGTGCAGTTTTATTGTTCATTTGCACAGTGTTTAGCATGTAACTCAGTAAGTTTCACTTTGGACCCATTTGCCAATCTTTAAACAGGACTTATTGTAGCTTTCTTTATACGATGGCATTCTTCTTGCCACTCCTCCACCTTTTTGTGTAATCTGACATTTAGCCAGATACTCCATTTTTGTCAACTTCTGACAAATGTTTCAGATGTATCAAATCAAAAACTTTACATTAAATTTCTTTCAAAACAGCTTCGTTCTCACTGCAGAAAGGCTCGTTAGCAGTTCACTATAATATATTGAATAAATACATGTCACTTCTTTGTACTCAGCTTCACTTATTTTCATTTTCTTTACAAACTACAATTAGTTTTAGTGTTTTTATTATTGTTGTGTAGCAGAACTATTTGACTTTTCTATTTGTTCTTTTTTAATAACATTTTACTTTCTTGCTGTTCAATTGGTATCTCTGTTGTACTCATTTATATTCATTTTTGTACATAATGTGTGTGGTGTAGCATTTCCTTTAATTCCTTTAATTCACAATGAATTTAAAAAAAGTAAATGTATTTTAAAAAGTCCAATAATATTTGAAGAAAAAAATTAAATTAAATTATATTTTTGCTGAGTCAAAATCTGGACTTATGTATTGTATGAACAGCTTCCTGGTGGTTTAATTCATTCATCCATGTGTCTGTTTGAACCTTTTACTCAGTTATGTCATAGTAATCTCACAACCTGGAATAAAGGCCAATAGGACTTTCAGTCCAATAAAAATAAGTCTGGCTTTCGATGATCCATTCACTCTCTCCACCTAATTTATGAACTGGGATTTCAGTTTTGAGAAACTTTATAGGTTTCACGTGTTTTAATGTTTAGGTTTTAGTGTTTTAATGATTTTACAAATATCACAAGAGGTTATTTTTCCCAACACATGTATTTTACAGTATCCATCCATGATTTTTAGAGACATTATCTTTGTTTTCTAGTTCCTGGACTGTGATAAAGTAACTTAAATAGGGATACATATGACATAGCACATAAATAAGGTATTATGAGATAGCATCTCAACACCTCTGTTGTCTGTGGTTTCTGCTCTTACCCACTACCTGTGTGGAGGAGCTTTGGGATTTGTTCCCAGGGAAGCTGGGTGAGAGTTGGGAGGTGGATACACTTGAAATTCAACAGGTGGGTTGTTGTTGTTGTTGTTGTTGTTGTTGGATGTCTGTGCTAGGCTGATCCACAACAAACCCCATGTTCAAGATAACATTGTTCACAAGTGTATTTGGTCCCACTTGATCCAGGGCTAAAGGTCAGTGATTAATTTTGTAATCGTATCAGACCTGCTGCGTCAGGGACACTCAGGTGCAAAGTTGTCAAGAGATTCCCCCTGCGGTGAGTTCGAGCCAGTGGTCTGACCGACTATTAAAAACTCAGACTTGTACGACTGTTCATTTAACACATCAATGCAGATATGTTGCTGCCGGGAGGAGGGAGGCAGTAAAAACATATTTTTAAACCCCATAATACACCAAATGAAAAGAACAATCACTGTTGACAACAGGTTCTGTGAAGGTCGTACTGTTCCTTTAAGAAAATGTACCCATATTGTTAGAAACTATTTTGTCTTACTGTGAACAGACGCAGATGGAAATAACGAGGATCATCAACAGCAGAAGCACTGCAATGGAGCAGCCTATTATGATTTGTCCTCTGTCACCTATTAGCCAGCCCAACGACACATATTCACACCTGGCGCCTTCATAATTGTTGTGACACCTTAGACAAGGAAAAAAATGCTTACATTTTGATCACATATTTGTGATAAAATTCCCATGAAGCTAAACTTCATTGTCTAATCTTTTTTACATTTATATTTACTCAAATTTTCTAGAACTATTTCTCACCTGCAGGATGGTGCCTTTTGCTCCTTGATGTAACGACAGTCTCCATGAATACAGTAATAAAGCAGCTCCTTAGGACAGTCTGAGAAGTGTCCATTCGATTGTTCTGTGTCTTTCTCTGCTGGAGAAATGAAATTATTTAACTTCTTAGTAAAATTATTGTTCTAGTTGTAACCAAAATAAATTCTCCAACCTACAAATCAAATACAAATGATTTTAAAAGGACTGTGTATGTAGTTTACCAGTTACAAATTGCTCTTATTTGATTTCAACTTTTTTAAGCACTTTTAAATGCCACTTATAAGCTCTCTATGTTTTTATTTTTATTTTTAACTTGGCTAAAATGACAGTCAAAACTTTTCAGTCCAAGCCTCTGCAATGATCCTTAAACTTTTACCTAAAACTAATGTAGAAACAACTAATGTTTCTCAATATAGCTATAACAACAAATGTAGGTCTGATCACTTTCCTTGATCTGACACTAAATGTAGTATAGATCAATATTTTTTGATCGATTGATATTCAGCCACTGATCCATCTTTTTTAGATTCATTTTGAAACAAATTTAACAAAATTATATCTAGTTTATGATCTTGTGCTCCAGGATTAAGCAAACTTGTGAAGCCAGTGTAGGTGGCTAGCTTCTAGCTTCCCTTCTTAGTGTAAGATCAGGAAAATACTTGCATTGTTAAAGTAACTACCACAAGATTGAACCATTTGAAAGTTTCAGCATGAATATTTAAAAGGTGAGGGAGGGAGGGGCTGCTTTGGACTGTCTCCCACATATTTGAGTAATTTCTAATTATCCAGTTTCAATCACGAGCAAATAAAAGTGTAACGTCTCTTTCTGGAGCTTTGTCACAGTTTGTCAGCTTGCCACCATGACGTCAGTTCTCACCCTCTGCCATGACCTAATTTATTAATAGACTGTTTGCAATACGATCCAGTCGAGAGAGGAACGCTATTCAAATCCACTAAGGCACTGGTGTCATAAAACACTCATTATCCACATAGCTCCATCAGTGTAATTCTTTGCTAAATTAAACATGAAAGTTGGAATTTCCATTCTCTCAACTATGTCCCACGCAGGTTTTTATTTAGCTTGCTAACTAATCGTACCCTGGAACAGCTGTTGAACTTCTGACCACCAGTTTTCACGTAGCACTTCTTGAAAAGCTGCCGCTATCTTTACAACCCGCTTTAGTGAAGTTGTCCCTCAAAAAAAAAAAAAAAAAAAAAAAAAGAAGAAAAGAAAAAGAGGGAGCTTGTAAAAGGAAATTGCCCTCCAGGTGACATCAATGAGTGCGGTCTAATTGTTAGGTGAAACCTGAGAACACGCTGGCAGACATGACCCCAGAGGTCACCAAGATATATATGTTTGTAGTCTTAATGATGGTTAGCCAACATGACCAGCTAAATGCAACACTCATATTTGAAGGAAGTTAAAGCAGAGGAGCAAATAATTTGCATCGTCTGGGTTATAAAACTGAAATAATAACAATAATAATAATAACTTTGTAGTACATCATCTCATTACTACTAAAATGCTGCAGTGAAAACAGAGTGAAGCATGTTGCATTCCTTACCAGTTATTGAATTTCCCACACAACAGCAACTAACCAAGAGGCCATGAACACATCATCTGTCAGGACCAGTTGTGGATTTTTACATCTCATTTAAGAAAGTGTTCAAATAGAGATGGCTTTGACCATTTCATCTTTCACATTGGTTGTTGATTTTTTTTGGGTGAAATAATGTCGACAACATCTTTCTTGCCATTTATTGATTTTCTTTTTGTTTATTTATTTTAATTTTATTATACTTCTGGTAAGTTCTGTCATGTGGTTTTTGATAATATTTTTTTATTTTATTTGAGATGTTATTGTTTATGTTTTCTACATTTGTTTCAGATCACTGTAACTCTAATGTTTTGTTTATTATTGTATCTTTTTCTTTTTTTACTTCTGTACAGCCCTTAATAAAAGTATACATAAAAACATTGGTTGATTGATTGATTCACTCATTCATTCATTCACTGTTAGATCTTTCATACTAGTGAAGATTTCTCTAACATTAGTTTATCTATTGGTGCCTTTATAATAAAAGGCACCAGGTTTTCTTTCTATGTATGAAGTGTTTAGTGACAAGTCTGACAGATTCTGTGCCATAAAACCAGTGGCATCTGAACAATCCAGTTTTTAATTATGCACAAACAGTTTTTTTTGGGGGATTTGATTACACACATTAGATACAAACATGTTGACTTGTATTGCTAGTATTCTTTATAACCAGAATTAGTTAAAATTTCTTATTTTCCAAATTGAACACACTCAATTTGGGGAATGCTCTCATTCGTAGGTCTGCCAGCATATTCCTGTACCTTCTTTGAGGACGAGACGTTTCATCTTCCATTTTCATGCAAACAAAGTTGCCAAAGGTGAACAGGAAGGAGGGGAACGTCAAAGCTTTAACAGTTTTCAAAGGCCATAATCCCGTCACGGATGACTGACACTATTTACCTAGACTGCTTTAACCAGTTCAGTGTCTGCTTTGATGATTGTGTCAATTATTCCTCAAAGCTCTTTATGACATCAGTGAGGGATTGCCCCGTCTCTACCTGTGCAGTTGTCTTGACAGACAGATGCGGTTTGGTTGGAGGACCCATCAGTGGCGTTCCATTCTGCCAAACAACGTCTCCACAGTGCTAGAGCTGCAGACCCAAACACAAACACAAGCAAAAAGCCAGTCAGACACACACACATGCACACACACGCATACTATTATGCTCACTTGCTTTGTGACGACTCATCAGCTACTTTGAGACCACATTCCCCTTTTTACAGGTGTGTAAAAGTTGTCACTCTCACTACCTGATTTTATAAACTCTCAGAATAAATAATATTTTCTTGGGGATTGTTTCACACTTCAGACAAGAGGATTTAAAGTGTCATAATTAGTGGGGGAGTCAGATAAAGTAGTGCTGATTTATAAGATCTTCACTAAATTATTAACCAACTCCAAAGCTTTTTGCACATGTTAGTTAGTGGGAGAATAATGTCTCAATTCAATTTTAACTCAACCAGCTGTCATGGAAAATGTGTTCAAAAAACTAATCTATAAAACTATTTATTTACAAATTCACTAGACAAATGCCCCCATGTCTCTAATCTACATCATAATTAACTTGTGAAGAAATTTGACCACTTCATCTAACATATGAGCAGAATAATAGTTAATCCTACCTGTTAGTAGTAATACATAGAGCCTGTGCAACTTTGCCATCTCCACACTTGAAGAAAATTCTTATTTGATTTCTGAAAATTCACAAACATTCGAGGGAAAGAGAAGTCCAAGTGGCTTAAATCCTTTTCAGAGGTCAGCGAGGTTTGGGAAAGGAATAGCCCTAACGTACAAGTTTCCCAGAGTGTCCTCTTTCGGTTCGTCATTGATGGCAGCCACATCCACAAAGAGTTGGAAAAAGACAACATACGCACTGAGATCCCAGCCGAGAGCACCTCTCAGGACTGCAACACGGCTGATCTGCAGTTTGTGAGTCTAGAAAGGGAGGTGTCAGTGAAACTCAACTCTGCTCTCAACTCTCCGCCCACACCTTAAAAGGAGAAGACAATACTATACAGTGTGCTCAGGTTGTTTCCTTTTCTAAACAAAAAACAAAGTATTCAAAGGACTTGGAAAAACTGACCTTCTTTTCTTAGGAATGAAACGATTGGTGGAGCAGTTGCACGGGAAACCTGTTAACCACAGAAGGACTTAAGATGCAATTTATCCTTTTTGTTGCATTGTGGGTTGGAGCTGAGCTTGCTAACTAAACTGACATGATGCAAAAAAGATGTAGGAGTGAAAAATGAGACTTTTCAACAGATTGGTACTTTTTGTTGTTTGGGGCCGACTACAACACAGAGTGAATAGAGTGGGGAGAGGTTTATATCCCAGAGGCTATGAATAGAAAAGTATATTTTCCTTTTTATGTGAAACTGTAGAACATGCTCCTCAACATTAAAGCCCCTTAACTGCCATGACTTACACTTTTTTATGTGACTGTTTAATGCAGCTTCATATGTATTTGGACAAAAAAATATGTTGCATTATACATTATTGTATTTATTCTCTTTGGTATTGCTATATTAACAAAAAAATATGTTTGAGTTACTTTGGTGACGCATGAATAGATGCTTCAGCTCTAAATGATTGGATTACGCTGCAGAAACACGACGTGACCATTATGTAATTGTATATATCTAACCACCAGATGGCGTCGTTTAACACTTTCAACAGAGAACAAGTTGGGAAATGTACAACTGTAATAACAAAACTAAAACGTTTCAGAAAAATTAAAAAAAGCAAAATTTTCTTAAATTGATTTACTAACAATTTTTATAAAATAAGGTGTAATTTTTTCTTCTTTTTTTTTCTTTTAAGCCACAACTAAATGTATATTTTAATAACAGAAAATGGTTACTTTAGAAATTGCAAACTTTAGTTTTCCAATGATTTCATTTATTAAAAAGTTACTGAACTTTTTCTTACATATGTGAAAACTAATATACTTCTAATCCTGATAGTACTGGCTTTGCAACTTCACTGCCATCAAGAATTTGAAATAACATAAATATTGTGAGAGGAATAGCTCCACCATATTGGAGGATTTTTGAGCATTAATGATCTACTGAGGTCACAGTCAAACTTAAGTCAGAACTTTGATTAGAAAACACTTCTAGTCAAATGCACTTTCTTGTCAGCGCATTTGACTGGTCGACGCATGAAGGTGATGCGTTGACTAGAAAATGCATCGCCTTCATTTTGACTTTGTTCAAGCCATTCAGTGATGAACTTCTGTCTGCACAACCCATGAATGTCCAAGGCTAAGATCACAAACGATTGGCTGGATATTCTGCTTCAGGATATTTTGGCTCCGGCAAAATTAGATTCCCAGACCATCATCAAACTACAACAATGTTTTGATTCCAGAATGATCATCTTTTTTTTATTTTTTTTTTAAATGCTCCATCAGTTTGAAAAAAAAAACACTTTTGTTTTAACCATCTGCAGAATGTCTGCACAAGTTGGTCCTTTACAAGAGAGTTGCAAGAAGGAATCCATTATTCATTCCAAGTCATTATTTTAAAAATTGTTGTAAGCCATTTACAGTTTTTATAACCCTGCAAAAGAATGTGATCAGGTCACATGAGACCAAAATGTAGCTTTATGTACTACACACAAAACACCATGTATGAAGGAAATGGTGACGATTTGTCCAGAGCAATTGCACAATGTTATGCTGTGGGCATTAAAAAAAGTCCCTGTGCTTTTCATCTGCAGGGACAGGAAAGCTGGTCAGATTTTATGACAAGATAAATAGAACTAAAAAACAGAAGAAAAGGAGAAAACATAAACTTAGAGTTTATAAAAAAAAATTGAGAATGTGGCAGTGATTCTGCTATCAACAAGACAATTACCCCAACCATTTATCAAAAGCTACAAAGAGGGACATGTTAGAAATTTAATTGGAAAAGAGTTTGAGCTATTTTGCAGTGACTCATAGGAAAACATTCAGCCTTTAGATACGGAAACCTATTAGAAACACACCCCAAAAAGATTCGGCTGTGGTTGCAGCAAAAGCTAGTTCTTCAAATTTTTGACCCACAGGGAGAAATCTTTGAAGCCAGAAAGAAATTCAAATCTCACTGCAACATCAACAACAATGTTTGACTTAAAACAGGCACTTTAAAACATGCAAAGTCTTTCTGCATGTGCTACATGGGAAGAAGTGAAAAATGTGATTTTCCCTGAAACAAAACAGTAAACGCAACAGGAACTAACAAGCTGATGAGTCACTGATACTAATGTTACGGAACCTGTTCCACAAAGTAACATTTGCCTTTTTGGTTACATTTATCCAACAAAAGTAAAGCTCTGCTGTACAATAGAAAAGTAAGCAGACTTTTTGTGATACATCAGGCAAGTTTCTGGTCAGGTTTATCTGAAAAGCACATTTCAACAAGTAGGCAGTTCAAAGTGCTTCTCATAATAAAACCGTAACACAATCAACAAACAAACAAAAAACATTAATGAAAAGATGAAATCCAGACTAGAATTAGTCTGTGTTCCACTTATTATTAATAAAGGCAATTCTAAACAAATGTTTTTAACTTTAATATATACAATGATCTGAGAAGATTAACTGGTCAAAGTGAAAACAACTTATAATTTAGATTGATATGTGCGGCAGAGGGTTGGGAAAAGAACATTTCTACTTCAAGAAACCTTTTTCAGGAGCCCAGAAGGTTTTCTTGGCATTCTTGTGCCATTATTCAAGACTCTTTAATTTTTAACTGCATTGGGGTTAAACCACAGCAGAATCAAGAATTACCTTGGTAAAAATTTACCCCACAATCCAGTCCTGGTAGGACGACAATACTTTTGCTTTTAAGCATTCCTTATCTGTGAAATTTTCTTCGTATCGTTTTTGTTTTTCCAGTTTAAACTCCCTTGAGGTCAGCGGTCATTTTCTGGGCAACACTTTTTATGGGCAATAAACATGCTGTTTCCCAGGGCCTGCTTAGAAAGTGGGTGTCAATTTTCTAAAAGTTTTATTCCATATATATGTAGTAAAAGTTGACACTCCTCTGTGTTTATTAGTTGCATTATCGTTGCTGTTGCTAGTAGGGGACGCCAGTCAAAAGGCAAAGGACATGCTCAGTAAAGCAAGAAATGTGAGAACATTAACATTAGAATATTTTACAGCATTCATAAACATCTTCTGAGTAACTTTTGAAAATGGCTACAGTTAAAATCTTGAATGAAATTTGGAGTGACTTTCACAATAATCTGCAGTGAAATAATTCTTGCTCATAGTTTTAGCTTTAAAAAAAAACAGGTTCATACATGGTGGGCAAAATTCCTGCAGAACACACATAATACACATCCTGGGATGGATTAACGAGGATAAGAGTAATTAAATGATTTGGGGAAATCAGGGTTAGCAGGGAACTCGGCAATGGATGGATGGCTTTACTTAATTATAGATTGCAGGGATAAAGGAAAACCTCCAGTTAACTTTGCCAGTATCTCCTCTAACTTTGCATCATTTTAAAGCTTTGAGCATTACAACATAATGTTAACATTCAGCTAAAAGGTTAATTATAAATGGTTATCTAAGACAAAAATAGTAGGCATATTTAAGTACAGGTCAGAAATACTGGCAGCGACTCTATAGATAACTCTACAAAGACTCCTCCCTTAAATGTGCACTGGAAGGAAAAGGAAGTGATAAAACTGAGAGTCGTCTCATGACCGGCTAGACATTATTGGTGCTGCACTAGATAGTGGGTTTTTTATGTTCCTAAAGGCAAAAAAATATATATTTTAAATGGGTAAAAACAGCTAATAATAAAATCTGCAGAACGAGGTTTTACTTAACTCAGAACAGCTCGTTATGATAGCAAATATTTACCTATGAACCTTTTTTTATGCAAGCACAAGTTTTGTTTCTAAATTAGCACAGCTTGATCTTGTGATTAAGTCCAGAAAGCGAGCTGCCTCAGGGTTATCTTTCACTGAGTCTTTGCAGTTTGAAACAGGAAGACTCAGTTTCCTCTCTCTTGCTGTGTTCCTAACTTAGCCTGAACATCAGGAAGTTCCAGCGCCATGAGATTCCAGAGTGTCATTTAGTGAGCAGGCTAAGACATCCGCTTTGTACCATTTGTAGATAACCACTGTATCACTCCGCTACTTCATAACATAGAAATCACTCTTAAAGAGATGTCTAATGAGACGTACAGTAACAGCATGTAGTTTTTTTTTTAAAGGAAGCTAAAAAGAAGCAAAATAATATAAATGAAAGACATATGTACCAAAGAAATATTTTATTACAGTCTATTTTCTTTCATAAAAAAAGCTTAGAATTTGTACAAAACATATCTGGATAAAAAGTCAAAATGCTGAAATCTCTTTTTCCCTGTAGGAGATGTCACAGTTGCGTCCATTTCTTCGTACTCTGCAAAAGGGTGCAAAACCTATTATTCTTGTTTTGAAGCTCAGCTGTCATAATAAATATTCACATGCAGAATAGAAAGGTGTCTGACCTTCACACCACAGCGCAGGAGCGCGGCTCTCTGAAGGGGTTGCTCCCTGTAGGGACTCCGACCAGCAGGGCGTCTTTGCCTGCGTTCTGCTGACAGTACTGCTGCAGCTCTGCAGCTGCCTGGGACACCTGGGAAAAGCATCAAGTGTATCTATGAGATAAGTTTTATCATTTGTGCCAAACAATGTGTGCTGTATCTAGGGAACTGAATTTTTACCTGCTACAGTTTACATAAAAATATAGCAATGGAACAAACTCAGAAACTTAAAACTTTTTTGTTAGAGTATTTGAATGACAATGTAAAAATACTGCCAGACACATTTCCCAAATGAAGGAAACAATAAGACTATGCTACACTCTGTTTATACATTGATACTATTGGTACATTAAAGTCCTCAGAATTTCAATCGTATTTAGTGTAGTAGAAACAACATTCACATAATTGGATTTTGTACAAAATCTGAATATTGTCGTGCAACAATGTGAAAGAAACAAGAGCGTCAGCCGATAACAACCACAGCACCATGCTGGTTTTTACCTTAATTCTTTCCACGCTGGCCTCAAGTTTAAGTTGTTCCACCAGCCGTCGCATGTTGGACAAATTGGAATTAGAGGTCATGATCTCAGAGATGACAGCAGAGGAAAAAAATATTGTTTAAAGACAAAGCAAAAGAGAAGATCTCTCCTCACGCTCCAGACACAAGCAGCTTGACTTCGCTGATGGCCAACAAAGAAACAAGACAAGAATGGCTGTGTTTCTTTCCAAATGACCTCTGCTCTCTGCTGAGGAAGCAAGGAGAAAGAGAAACGCACTGACCTCTATGTGCATTTCACCGACACTGCATGGAAAACTGTTTAAGATCTGAATCCACTGAAAAGTCAGGCACATCACTTCGCAGGAGAACTTAAAAGGCACAACAGAACTTAGGCATTATTTTACTTTGACAAAACAAAATGTAATTATTAATTATTGAATCTAAAACATGAAATGACATGGTCATAAAACAGTGCATCAAATAATATTTCAAAAAAACATTTCAATAATTTTAAACATATTAAAATCAGATTAAGAAATGTAATAATACCAAAGACAATTATTAAACAAACTCAAATATGTACAATGATGGGGAAGACTGCTAACAGCTGACCTGTAAATTATAGTCAAAAATAACAAAGACAAATTTGAAATATATAATTATTTAATGGATCTATTACTTCACTTTTTGAATTGAATTGGTGAAATAAATTTAATTTATGGAGATGCACTAGTATGTCTAGCCTGTGAGTCCAAACTGTTAAGATGATTTAAAAAAAATTTACCTTTCCTTAGATGTGATGTGCTACATGGCGATGTGGCATCCCCATAGTGTCAGAATCACACCATCATGTCAAGACAGTATACTCTCATGTAGGATTTACATCTTCACATGTATCTTTGTTTCAAAAATAGAATGAAAAAACAAAATTACACAGTTTACACTAGGGTTAACTCAGAAGTTCAGCTGACATGTAAGTTTATGCACTGGTGAACACAGCCCCACAACATAACTTTAATTTCAGGGGTTAAAACCTGAGAGCACTGAGTCTAAGTTGGTAATGGCATTTATTGAAGAAAAAAAAATCAAGCTGTATGCTTTTGGGAACCATGTGAAGCAAAAAAAAAAAAAAAAATTAACACTCATGCTGTTAAATTTAATATACTTTATAAAATTTGACTTATCATAGTTTATTGTTTTGCTAAGACGTCGACTGTTCCCTAAAGATAATGAAATTTAAATTCAGTTTATTGATTATTTTTTGAAAACTGTTCAGATAGTCCTCTGCAGCAGTCAGGATTTCTCATGTGACCCTTTGTGAAGACAAATTATCCACCCCTGGTTAAGTTTAATTACCTTTGGGTGTTTCATATGTATCTACTCACGCCTGAATATCTGGATTAATATAGTAATAAAGTTTAAGGAGCCCACAACAACCGCTAAAAACAGCTGTAAAAGGTCGTGCAACTTCGTTTCACAGCAGCAGCGATTCAGAATTGCGTAAACCCGACTTTGATAATGACCGCAAACGCACCACAGTCTTCTCGTCACCTCATTGGTCCGTAGGCGATTATGAGGATTGGCTGTAAGGAGCTTTTGCGGAAAGGAAAGATAAACATTTCGGTAACCCAGCAAACTGACATTTAAACGGAACTACCATGAGCTAAAGCGACATTCAGCACTGTAAACATCCCGGACTCTTCGTTTAGGTGTGTGAGAGAGAGTTTGGCAGACATGGTGGAGGTGTTTTCTGGTCGGACTCTGCTGAATAAAGACGGGGACTTCGTGGACCCCGAGGAAACGCTGAGGAACAAAGTGGTGGGGATTTACTTCTCTGCCGGCTGGTGCCCTCCGTGTCGGGACTTCACACCTGTCCTTTGTGATTTTTACACGGAGCTGGTGGAGGAAAGTGAGCCTCCTGCTCAGTTTGAGATCGTGTTCATCTCCTCAGACAAGTCGCTGGATGACATGGTCGAATATTACCATGACATGCACGGAGACTGGCTGGCTTTGCCCTGGAGTGATGATTATAAGCAGTAAGTTTCTGCTCACATCAAACTATTTAACTCAGGGAAGGTTGGGAACAAATGGTGAAGTGCAATTTCATCGTATTAGCTTAAACACTGCAGTCTGTAAACTACTTATGTAAACTACTTATGGGGTCACCCTGTCAGGGATTAGGTTTAAATGCAGAGCAGACTGACAGTTTCCACAGACTGATTTTATGCTGACTGTTAAAGGCTACACTATTATTACTAGTGTGAACAGTAATGCATAAACAGACTTCATACATGTGTGTAGCTCCCCTAAATGCATTTGTGTGAAATCCCACACTTGTAACAGTTGTGTGAATTGTTTCAGGAAGCAGAAATAAAAAGATAAAACAGAAACATCAAAGCTAACATCAACTAAAAGACTAACTAAATGCTTATAGCTTATCTTTAGTTTGCTTTTGAAATCATAAACACTCATCTGCCTTCAGGTCTGTAGACCAAGCAGAAAAAGACACCTAAGAGTTTTCACTGAATCAGATTTATCTGTTACACTTTTACAATAACAGCAAGTAAGCAATACAAACTAACATAAATAGCTTTTTTTTTTTTTTAACTGCTTATGCCACCCATTTCATAAGATGGCACCCGGATTACAAGGCACTTTTAACATAATTTGAATCCAGTTTTAGCGTGAGTAACATCACGCTAAAATGATGTTACGCATCATTTTATCGTGATGACCTACCTATTGCCGTAGGTCAGAGGAATACGCTTGGAGGCATTCAGATTTGTTTTCTGAATGAATCTTTCTATCTTTATCAGTGAATTTGCAGGATATTTCCTTTTTCTTTATTTTTTTTCATCAAGAAAATCAAAATCTGCCAATATATCAACGTTTAAAAACCACAACTTTAAATTCAACAGATTTTCTTTTTCCTTGTTTCACTTAGTGAGTTGAAGCAGCGCTACAAAATCACAGCAGTTCCCAAACTGGTGATCGTGAAGGAGAACGGCGAGGTGATCACCGACAAGGGCAGGAAGCAAATCCGAGACCGAGGCCTGGCCTGCTTCAGGACTTGGCTGGATGCGGCTGAGATTTTTCAGAACTTCAAGGCTTAAGGAGAAGCATAAACCCAAAGTCACCTGTAAAATACTTCATTCACTTCAGCTCCAGTCCGAATTGTGTGCAAACTAAGTTGAAAAACACTTCTCTTACTTATTGATTGGATATTTTTAGCCTTAAAACACTGTGATTGAGCTCGGCTGATTACAGCTTTGCAAACATGAAGTTACATACTAAGATGCTGCTTTAGTTGGAGACCTTTCTATGCATACGAGATAAATCTCAGGCTCAGCTGTAAGTGAAGTTGTACATTTTGTGTGATTAACAGCTGCCGTAGATCTCAGGTTACATTACAGCATGCTTCTGCAGCAGTTAAGCTTTCAGCAACACCTTCAACCTCCACTTAAGGAGAAATGTAAAATACTTCATCTGTTATTCATTAAACTGCCTGTATATTTTATTTCATTTTATTTTTTTGCATTTTTAAAAAAATTGGTAATTAAAATGCATACCATGGAATCTCTAGTGCTTTGGTTTATACATCACTCAGCTTGTGCTAAACAGAAAAACAAACTCGATTCCCTTTTGCCTCATTAAATGGTAGAAATCCCAAAGGGTCTGTTTCCAGCATGCTCGCACCTTCACAAACCTTATTGCATGTTTCCTCTGTGCATGCTGAGGATGGCTGTATTCGCAGCCATCAATTTGTGCGAATACATCCCACACCATGATGACTTCATGGTCCTTATAGAGCACAACAGTCCCTGCAGGCCTGCTTGCTTTGAAACTCCATCAAAGTGTTCACGGCTGCTAATTATGCCCGCTTGCTCTTTCAAGGAATAAACTGCACCTTTCGTCAAATCAGATCTGCTGTTTTTAACCAACGCTTTAACTCGGTTGCATCTCAAGTGGGGTAGCAACCTTTTGAGATCCTGCTAGTAGAAAATGATGCAACTCGATGAAGAGAATTGAAGCATGAAGCAAATTGACATGATTGAAAGAGAGCTGTCAAACCTACGGCTCCCGTGCATCAAAGCACGACGTCCAAAACAACTTCATGGATCTTGCTTGCATCACTTTTTTCGAAATTGACACAGAAGAGGTTGAGGTTTTGCAGACTTCCACAAGGGGTCACTGTTTCCCGCATAAAAAAATGATTTCCCATCAATTAGCTATTTCTGCTGCACCTGTCAATAGGGTATAAATTATAAGATTACGGTTTTATTAAGGCATCAGGGTCTATCTTTGTTTGTTTTGTTTTTTTCAAATAAGGTACACTGACATGTAACCAAAGAATTATTGGGGAGTTTAATATGCAGTTAAACCTCATGTTGCAGTTTAACTGCATATATTAGATTTTTAACTCACTGGGGGAAGGAGCTACAAGATCCTAAAGCAATTTTATCATTTCTTTTTTTCTTTTCTTTTTTTATTCATAGTTCTTGGATGCATGTGATCTTGTTCGATGTTTAAATATGTTATCATTAGCATGATGAACTTTTACTGATTTATTTAAGCTGCTCTGGTATTTCAGCAAAAACTAAATCTAATATCTATTAAAAGTGATAGTCACTGGATTGACAGCAGGGATGATGTCTTTCAACAGGTGAAAGGTGAGTGCGTCTCTGTTTCAATGGGCTAATACTGTGAAGTAAATAAATAAATACGCTGCACACATAATAAGCAAAATGGAAGAAAAGAAAATCTTTCACTCACCTATTCAAATTGCACCAGTGTTGATCGTAATGTATTTTTTGAAAACACAAAGTGTTTCCATGCAGACGTAAAACTCCAAAACTGTCACTGTCAACACTATTAATTTGGTCAATTTGGCTTATTATCATTTGAACTGCAATACTGTATTCTGGGCTCATGCGACTGAAAAAAATACTAAAACTATTATTTACCAGGCTGATTTTTTTTTTCTTATTTATTTCATTTCAGCTCAATTTCAAAGAAGAAGTGAGGATGTAGTTTTGAATTATGCAGCAAATGTTTAGGCTATTAATTCACACAAAGCTGATTTTGCACCCGGCTGTGAAACAATGTAAAACCAATAGGCGCAATTTCCTTTCAGCTGCCTGATTGTGGGACGTCCTCCGTAACTTAAGATGTCGACTTTACATTTGGACTTTTTGTTGGCTTTCAGAACTGAATGGCAGTAGTGTTTCCTTCTGCTGTAACGGTGTCTTAAGTAAGTCCACTAACAAGGCTGGCATTATACGAGTACAGGGAAGGAAGGAGGGAGGTGGTGAGCTGAGTGGACTGACCCACCAGAAAACAGAGCGCCTTAACATCAAGACCAACCTATAAAGGAAGAGAACATCCGGTAGGTAGTTTCAAAATAATGTTAAAATTTATTGAAAAATTATTCGTACAAATTTTTTTTAAATATGGTTAAAAAAACGGACGTTTTGTTTAATATAAGTGCATTTAATTTGTTTTATTTGTAATAGCTTTATTTCAGCTACTTTACACATCTTTAAAATTAACACCTTAATCAGCATCTACATGGAGCAGTGGAAAGCAGCTTTTCCAGTGCCTACCCATTAAACTGTTTTACATTTTATCACTTCACAAACACAATTCAGTGTTATTTATTTCGATTATATGTGATAAGCCATCTAAGCAGCAAATAATCTAGCAAATAAAAGAAGACTTATTATTAACAAATAAAAGTCTGAAACATATCAAATCAAATCAAATTTTATTTGTATCGCACATTTCAGCAGCAAGGCATTTCAAAGTGCTTTACATCATAAACACAAAAACACAAAGTAATGCAACATTGAATAAACAATACATTGGTACATATTACGTTTCAAATACAATTCTACACAGGTGTGTTTTTAGTTGCGATTTAAAGGAAGTCAGGGTTTCTGCTGTTTTACAGTTTTCTGGAAGTTTGTTCCAAATTTTTGGTGCATAGATGCTAAAAGCTGCTTCTCCTCTCTTGGTTCTGGTTCTGGGGATGCAGAGCAGACCAGAACCAGAAGATCTGAGAGGTCAGGAAGGTTGATACAACAACAGCAGATCTTTAATGTATTGTGGTGCTAAACCGTTCAGTGATTTGTAAACTAACAACAGTATTTTAAAGTCTATTCTTTGAGCTACATATGGTGTATTAAGCCTGGTTCATACCTGTTAGTAAAATCCAGTGTAATAAATTTCTGTCAAAAGTTACCTAATTTTCTGTGTAGCTGTTATGTAAAGAAACAGCATCATGCACATAAAGGAAGACACCAGACTGGTCATTGTTCATGTTGTGGATAAGTCTGGGTATTGCTATATCAATCAATTATAAACTGCGCAAAAAGAACCATGAAGGGCGGCACTGCAAAATTTCAAATTTTATTTTATTTTAAATGCAGAAAACCATGTACTTTTCTTGCCTTTCACAATTAGGATGTTAGTCTATCATGGGAATGCCCAAAGTGTGGTCCAGATCCCAATTTTGTGCTCCAATTTTGTGAAGCAAATCTGGCCTGTAAGCGCAAGGTGGTTGATGCTGACAGACACTTGGTTTTGTGCAGCAAAATTTTCCCACACAAAATACGATCTTAAAAAGTTAAAATAAGAAAAAGATTTTTAAAAATACCCTTTTTATGTTTTGTAGCTAAAACATAAATAGAGATGCACGTTCGCCAAAAAGCTACTTTTTTAGGCAGGGATACGGATATCTAACAGCTGGTTCAAATGAACCACAACGTTGGTAGTTGAGTCTGTTTCCTGAACTGCGTCTTACTTTGAAGGCAGGAACTGCACATGTTTCCGGTGTTTCTAGTGCGGCTTCACGACCAGCAGCAGTACAAACGCTCACAGTCGCTTCTGAAAGGCGCTGTGGTCCAGTTGCAGAGCTGCTGCTGCTGCTGCTGGACGAGTCAGCCGCACCGAGGCGACACCAAACGTGCTGCGCTCAGGGCGAACCTCAACACTGCTGGACCCAAAGGTGAGTCCAGTGCTAAGTGATTGATGTAATGCTGCTGAATCTGTACTCAAATGACTCAAACTGAGAGAACTGTTTGAGGCTATGGTGACATTAGATTGTCCACTTTTTTTTTTCTTTTTCTTTTTTTTGCAATTGCGCTCCGATTGGATCTTGTTTTAAACTCCGCTTCCAAGAGGAACCTGTGAGCACTGGGGTGGCAAGCAGAAGCGTTTGGATAACATTCATGCTTCTGGTGCCTGTTTGTTTTCAAATATTACGCGCTTGAGTTTCATCAGATCCCTTATAAATGAAAACACTCCCCGAGACAATTAAACTTGTCGCTCAGTTTAACCTGACGCTTCTGTTCAACTATTATTTGGCATCTCACCCACAAACACACAGATGTATATGCACCACTCTGAGCAAGCTGGGGGGTTTTTGTTTGTTTTTGGGGTTTTTTTTTTTTTTTTTTTTTGCTTTTTTGCTTTTTTATCCGAGAAATACTTTAATCCTGCTTAGTGCTTTCTCTAACAAGCACCTAGGACCCTGAAATATTTAGTGTGCAGGCTGGCAGAGTTGTTTTTCTCCTACTGAGGGAACAGAAGTGAAGCTCATGTGGCATTTGAAGTGGTTTACCAGATAAGGAACAGATATCCTGCATCAACGGCTTAAAAATAAATTACTGTATAAGTGTGAACCTGGTGATGTAATACAGGATGACTGACATATGTGCTTCCTGTGTCCTGGAGATTTGGGTTTCGGTCCTTGTTTCTTTTTGTGCCTGGGAACGACTTTATTCTCACTTTCCCTTGCTGTGCAGAATACGTGAAGGCACACTCATGTTTCATAGATCAGATAACAATGTCATGTAGGACTATAAATCCGTGACATTTTACAAGTATTGAAATAACTTCCATGCAATAAAAGTGACAGATTACATCTGATATCATATATTTATTTCCCTTACATGTTTTGATGGAGCTTATTGAAAATCAGCAGATGCTATCAGGTGCAGCGAGTGATACAAGCCAATCTGCTTCAACTATATCAACCGCAGAAAGTGGCTGGTTTTGTAAAAAACACCAAAAGTCCTGTTGAGAAGTGGCATGGCAAAGAAGAGAGTTTAAGCAAGTGCTGCTGCACATCGTGGCATTGAATGTCTTTTCATACAAAGGCCATAAACAAAGGCCTGTGGTAACGTGCATGCTTGCAAAATATTTAAGTTAAGCCATGCCAGGAGTTGCAATAGCCATTGTGGTTAGTTGCAAGGCGTGAGCAGATTAATTGACTCAGGTTAATTCGTCATTTCCTCTCTTCCCGTCTCTATTGTTAGTTATTTATAGTGTTTAATTTTTAAAACAGCGTCAACAACTGCGCAGTATATCAGATCCAGAGAGCGTCTCACTATACAGAGTAAGACTTATTGTGCTGTGTAATTACTATTCAGACACTAAAACAATTGAAATGTGGTCGTCATTGCGCTCTTTGAAACCGAGTCTATTAATTTCTTCGTTTTGCATTGTATCTATTTGCAGCACATTGTAGATAAAGGTGAAGGCTGTATTTTATTTTTTTTTATTATTGATCTGTGGAACCACATTGATGTGTGTGTGTGTGTCTATCTGCCCATGAATAGATGTTTTATCCCCAGAGGCTCTGGAATCAATTTTTGTGTTCATGTTTAAAACACTTTTGTGCACAGATCAAAGTAACTTATTTATGTTTGCTTACAAACCCTGTTTACTGCCTGAAAATAAAAAGGGAAATGCTGAAGCAGGTGCTCACAGAGAACTGTATGTCAGATAGTAGTGGACGTATTCAACACATGAAGCAACAGAATCTAGTTATCGTGAAGAAAGATGACCCGTCTACTCTGTGAAGGCATAGCAATATGACTTACAGCCAAAGCAAATGGTGGATGATCTTTTGGGCATGGTACCTGTTAGTGGATGGGAAGTATCAGGCAGCAAATGAACATCCTCTCAGTAGATGTGTTCGAAGCAGGAAAAATGGACAAGTGGAAAGAATAGCGAGTTTGAACAGGGCCAAATTGTGATGGCCAGACTGAGTCAGAGCAACTCCCAATGTTTTGTGTGTGTGTGTGTTTTGTTAAGAATAAAAAAGAGGAATAACTTGATTTGGCTCGTTAATTCCCCTCTGATCCCCGATTCTTGAGCCTCAATATGCGCAGGGAGAAAGAGCAATCATACGACATCGGACTTCAGATATCTAGAGCTTTATCCAGAGAATTCAAATGCATACAGAATGTTACAATAAGCATCTCACCCAGAAATCAACAGTCCACAAAAATGACAAATAGAAAAATACTTGCTATGAGTTTGAAAAAAAAAACAAAGAACAAAGATGCATCTTTGGGAATCACTCATTCAGCACAAAGAGATTCAACTCCTCTGTTGTAAGCAAAACTTTAAAAAAAAAAAAAACTGTATATTTCCATATGCAATTAGTGGGTGTGTTGTTTCCTTTGTGGGGGCTGTCTGAATGTTAATTTCATTACCTCTAAGACCTACTGAAACACCCAGCTCTTCTCGTACCAGCCTCTTGGACTGTGATATATGACGTGCATCTGGAGCGTTATCTCTGCCTCAAAATGATTCAACAAGAAACCAGTTGGTATTTTTAAACAAACTCGCACAAAATCTATTGCTTAATACTAACTAAAGTTTGGATCTAAAACTAACTAATTAAAAACATGCTTTTTAATGCTTAAAGAAATATATTAATATGTTTGATTATACTTTTTAAGGACTTCTAGAGTTTTTAATGTTTGCCTGAAATATTCAACCCTGAGTAAAGAATTTATTGCCCTGATAGCCAATACACTCCCTGTCTGAAACGCTCCTTAGGGAGTATAAGACTGCTTTCTGATTAGAAATTTATGTAAGTTTCAGAGAATCACCAGCTGTCTTAGTTTGGATTTGTGTCTAAGTTTGTCTTAATGTAAAGGTTAGCCTGTGTACTATTGTGCTAATTTAAAACCATATTTCAACAGTTTCCAACATTTTCTAGAACATTTAGTATTTTTGGCACTGTAATCTGTGCCAGGTGTGGGCATCTGCTGCAGTGAGACTCCATCCAACAGCATTGGCAACCCTCAGGAGTCTTGTGGAGTCAACACCTCAGTGGCTCTAAAAGGGGAACTGCAATCTTATGCCAGGAGGGTGTATGTTACAAACTTCAAAGCAGCATCTATGTAAATAAAAGGTGATGATGATCACTATAAGACATGGATATGCATTCCTGCTTTCTGATTATCCCAAACCTGTTAACAAATCAAGTTTGTTGACAGATTTAATTAGATATGAGAAGTCTTTCATGGTGGACATGCTGCTTCAAGGTGTCAGCGCATCAGATCCATAAAGTAGTTAGGTGGGCCATGGAGCACAGCAATTAGCAAATACCAACGGTTTTCCATATTGGTGACACCAGCAGCAGATTGACATCTGACACAAAAGTCAGCAAGAATCCGTTTTCAGCCGTGTCCACCAGTTTCTGCTGCTTTCTGGGCTTCTCTTTATAGAATTAGTCAAATATAACTAGCTGATATTTTCTGGCTAGTTGGACTGTCTGCTCAGGTAAAACCTGCAGTCAGCTGCCTCACACCTTCAAATCTTGCTAGCTTTAGATTTGAATCAGTTTCCTTAATTGGGGGAGAAAAAAAATCATTTATGGACGATGTTTCTTCAGCTTTGACAACATGACTGCCAAACTGTCAGGGAAAACTCCTCCACTCACTCTGGCTGTTCCACTGGCATCTCATAATATTGAGTTTAAATTGTAGAAGCTTTACGATAAAAAGTTTGGGCCGTTTTGACTCTAACTCTTTGATCTTGATATACTAGCGTATGAGCCACGGCTGTTTGCCACCAAATGCAAAGCACAAGCTTTTCTCTCCGACTTTGCAAGTATGTAACGACAAGTTAAATGTTCTCAGGGGAACATTCAAGGCTCTCTCTATCTTGATTGTGAAGAAGGCCCACAGAAAGAAAGCAAAAGTGCCAAACCATGTTTAATGTTAGCAGCATGCATTTTAAGGTGGGGGAGAAGCAGTGCTGAAATTGTTTTCCAAGTCCTTTCCAGATGGTGTGTTGACAGGGAGGTTCTGGGAAAACCAGCCTGTAATAAATGAGATGGAGAATCACCTGAGGGGACCGTAGACATCAAACAAAACCTTCCTTTCACCTCCGTCAGTCCGACACTCGAATCAAACTCACTTCTCCTCGTTCCATCGATCTCCTCTGCTAATAGTTCCCCCTCAAGTGATCTGTGAGGAGATGACATTCTATCCAGTCTCTTTTTTTTCCCCTTCATTTTTTTATTTCATCTTAATTAATCTCTGCCCTGCACCCTGGATGTTGTTCTGTTTACTGAGCTCTAGCTGGAGGGCATGTTCTGACGAATTCGTCTGGGGAGAAACCCTGACATTCGCCGAGGCCAACAGTCACATGAACACATTAACTTCCTTGACCTGTAACAAATGCACAACACAGTCTGGGCAGCCGGGATGTAGTTGGGCTAGAGCAGAAGAGCTCAAACATCCATCATTGTGTATTTTATCTGGTTGCTTCGATGCTTTTTTTTCTTCTTGCATGTGTGTTTTCATTAACGAGACCGATGGGAGGCATATTTTGCATTTATTTGGCCTAAGTGGACAGTTAAACCCCATTTCCTGGCATTTACCTGCATGCAAAAGTTTTACACTGTTGTAAATTTCTGTGGCAGGGATTGAAAATGAAAACATTTCATGCAGGTTTTCTAAATATTTGAATCAAGATCATTGCATGGTATCTAAAGGATTTTATGCTAAAAAAGAATTAATCAAAATTTAATAGATGTAATTAGCCGATCCCCCAACAGAGGAAGAAAATATGGCAGGAAGATAGCCCAGAGGTTTCAGGAAGTTGTTTCCTCAGGTCATTATGTAATTAGGAAATGGCAGTTAGCTGCAAAAGCAGATCTACACCCCAACATGCAAGCTTCATGCATTACGAGAGCAAGCT